TGCTAATTGCGCACGGAGTGTCCCTAGACGCCAAGGGGACTCGAAGCAACTCTCTACGCATCTTTTTCGTTAGCGTTATCGATTCCACGTAAAGGCGTTGTTATCGTCCGTCTCGACGTTGTTAATTACAAGTTAAGAAATAAGGGATATAAACGCAAAATAGGGGACAGTCTCGGGGCCCATTTAAACGCGCGTACACGCATTCCTATTAGGGGCCGTATAGTGCTCCGAGATAGGGGGGGAAACGAGGGTTTCGGCCGTTTCGCACGACGTGGTTGGACTAGCTGGCGCCAGGTTTATCTCTCCACCCTATCTCGCCTCGGCCTATACCGTTATGGAGTGCCGTTATAGCGTGGGTGAAGGGGCGGAAGGGTTAGCTGCCTGCCTGCTTGCGGCGCCCCTCGTCTTCTGCAGGAGCATTGTGTCAGGGGAAACAACTCGCGATGCCCCGACGTAGTCTCCCACGAGATACCATTATCCCGATTTAGAGCGGGCGGCTCTATCTGCCAGGTGCGGCGTTTCTACGCGCCCAGGTATCCTTGGTGAAGAAAGGTGAGAGCTTGAAACACCTTCTCCCTCTCATTATTCTCAGCTGCCGTGGCTAATCGGTTCGCTCAAACTATTTTGCTGCCGTAACTACACTGAGAAAATTTTTATCGGATAAACCAATTAAATCGTGTTTCCGATGGTTAATTTTGCCGATTACGTTTTCCGGTGGAATTATGGATACATCCGACGAAAGTTGATTGAAAAACCAATCACATTTTTTATCGGTTATAAAAATTAACTCGATACATCCGTTTGTTACTATGTAATTGTATTATCCGATTATATTTAATCGGACATTTTTCTCGATGTATAAATTTCTACAGCACAGCAAGCGGTTTGGTGTCGCGCTTAATACAATAGGCACGGTAGCAAAATATTTGGCTACCGCAACTAAATATCAGCGGTCCATATTTTACAACTGAAATTTCGTTGCCACGTGCAGTTTTTAGCTGCGGCAGCAACATTTTCTCTCCGTGCGTCAGCGCATCGCGGACACAATCACGAGTCGCGACTAATTATTATTCCTGTCGGCGCTTTGATATTCTTTTATTTTCCCGATGTGGAGAAATCGCCCCCCCCCCCCCCCGCCTCTGTACGCGCGCGGGCGATCGGATGGAACGAGGGCTATTTGTAATTGCGATCTCTGGCCGCGACAAGGGTGGATCCGACATGTAAAAAGTGAGCGTTAATCAGCGGGGCACGGGCGGCACGGATCGCGGCGCGGCGTAATTAATACACGCCGGCCGAGCGGCGTGTTTGCGGGCCGCGCGCATCCATAGGCGAACTTTAGGACGCGGAGCGTTACGCGCCGGGATTGCGGGATGTGGATTACGCGGGGGAAACGGGTCGTTAAATGGCCGGGCACAATAAACCGCGGCCCGATGCGCTGAATAGAGATCCCTGTCCCCGCCCCACGTTACGACGCTGATTATCTCCGTTCGGTTCGCGAGAGACTCGCAGGGAGATCCGCAGGCGGGCCGCGTCTGCCGGTTATTATTGGGGATCCGGGGTATTAAAGGCGCTTCGGGAGAGGCGGGGTATTGATCTTCGGCCGCCCTACGTCATACTTAAATACAATATTTCGGCCGACGTGTAATCCGCTTACGGAAGTATCCGCGCTCGCTGTTGCGCCATGCAGAAACCGACGCGGCCGGTTCTGCTCCTTATTGCAATCGATTATTTTTACAATGTAATTGTGCACCCGTCTCCGAGGGTTACGGGGGGAGGGGGGGGGATGGGAGAGGGAGAAAATGTACACGTGGCGAGAGAACGCACACGATTTATACGTGACATTTCAGGGAGCACGTGTAATCCTCTTGCGCGAGTCGAGTGGTAGTCACTCGACTGCACTAATGATGTATTAATACATATATTTATATATAAATATCTTTCGTGTCTGTGCACAATAAAAGTACCGTATTCGCGTATTCTTCACGCGTATTTCGTGCGAGAGCGCACACACACACGCATGCACGGCGCATTGAAATAACGTGTTTTGAGCCGCGGATTTCTCCGACATTCCGAACCCGGTTTGTTCGCTGTAAAAAAACGGAAATATCAATTTTCCGATACTTTCAACGGTTATTTATTCGCGGGAGGTAATCAGGGGCACAAAGTCTTCGAAACGGCAAGGATTTCAACGAGAAAAATGAAGTATTTAAGGCTAATCACTATCTCTGATTATGTATGCGTAAAAAAGAAAACGATTCGTGGCGTCATTTTATTTTTCAACATTGGCCGCGGATGACGGTACTTCATTAGCAATTAATTCTACACGACCGATCGATTAACAAAACCAATTTAATCGGCACTGCGAGAGCGCGGATGACCAGTTCTATTAATTGGCGGAATAATCGGATCACAAGGGATTGTCGGATAACGGTCTGCTCGCAACGTATTACTTTCGATAATAAGCTCTATTATTGTCTGTCAAATCGATATCTTATTACCGTGAAATGATTTGAGTTTTAGACACAGCTGCGTATGTTGCGGGATTTAGATTGGAATTTAGAAAACTCGACACGGAGAAAAATTTTTATCGGACAAACCTATTGAATAATGTTTCCAACACGGTTAATTTTTCCGATTACGTTTTCCGATCAAATTACGGATACACCCGATGAAATTTGATTGAAAAACCGACCGCATTTTTCATCGGATGCACTATTAGAAGCAGTGTGTGAATATCACACACTTTATCGCATGTGATGTGTGTCCGCCGTTTCAAGACGTCTGTAAGTGTGACTTTTTCATGCACGAATGGATGTTTGATTTTATTGGCGTGTGTGACTTTTCACACAAATGGAGGTGTATAACTTATTTAGGTGTGTAATTTTCAAGGTGCCAATAAATGTGTAACAAAAGATTGCACTACATTGCAAATCCAAGTGTTTTACTATTATACACATATGTAATTTGGTGAAAGCACTTTTTACACGTTTCTTGCTGTTTAAAACAACTAGTTACATTATGTGATGCAATCCAAGTGGGAGGTTAGGTTAGGTTAGGTTAGGGAAACGGGAGGTTAGCGGAAAGAGCATGATGAATCAGAAATAAAGAGGAAGAACGAGGTTTCCGAGATGTTAGCAATAGGACACAGTCTAGACTTGAAGGCACTTTATTCACGATCGTCCGAAGCACAAAACGGATGGGATAACACACGGTAGGATATCCACAACGAGCACTGATTTCGCACGATGTTGTCTGGGGTAGTTGCAGTATGTGACTGATTAGTGTGTAACTAGTAAGTGCGTTACTATACTCAGTGTGTAAATTTTCCCAAAGTGTGTTATATTCAAACGTATAGAAATATTACACATGTGTGAATATTACGATGTTTGACTATTTCAAACATTATTAGATGTTTGATAAAATCCACACATTGAAGTGTGTGATTTCCACACATTCTCTAATGCATTTCACACGCGCATATTAAGAGGATAATGCATGACGATTGGAAAATTATGCATTAAATATGTGTGACGCATTAATATTCACACATTTCAAGTGTGTGACGTGTTAATATTCACACATGTGTGATAGATCTACTTCTAACAGTGCCGCCGTGCACAATTCTCTATTCGCAATGATCGATTCGCTAGTCGAGCGATTTTTTTACTAACATTGAAACTTGACTAATTGTAGACTTATATGATGCAAGTCCTGTGATAAAACAGATAAAGGTTAAAAGCTGTCCAAGTTAACGCGAACGAAACGACAAGTAACAAACGATAAGCTGCGAATCACGAATCACGGAGTCGCGCATTACGAATTAGTGCAGCGCTGGCTTTAAAGTGCATCCGACGAATAACTCGATCGACGCATGCTGCATTCGAGAAGACAAACTAAAACGAATGGAACAAAACAAACAGCAATATTAATCGCCAATAATAACGCTAAGGATAGCCGATCTTAATAAATGGACTGATAAGCGATCTCGCATGCCCTCCTGCGTGATTAATATCGGCTTTAATTGCAGCGAGAGGAAATAAATTAATTCACAAGGATGAGGCGCGTTCCGCCGTTGATATTAATCGCCAAGCGAATGATCGACCATTCGGCTTGCGAGCGGGTTGAATCATTTATTGGTAACGAGGACGGTAAAGGCTTCCCCGTAGCGCGCGGCCAGTCTGAAGGGAAACGAATGTATCGCAGTTATTAATTACGCAGACGTGGCTGTAAATAATTCCCATTGGGCCGGTCGATCGTTTTGAAATTCAAGAATAGCGCATTTCGGTATAATAATGCATTGTTACCGCAGCACACGATACGGGAGGCGGGATTATGTACGCAATCGTATGTTACCAAGTTTAATTAGAGCAATGATCTAGCTCGAACTACCGTCGGACAAGCGATTCGTCCCCAATTGTATCATTGCGCTCGTCGTGCAACGAACACATCGCTCTACTTAATCGAGGCGTATTTGTATGTATATATCGACCGTCCGTTTCGTATCACGTTGCTAACGACGAGGTCCCAGTCGCGAAACGTGAGCTCCTTGACAGGGGCAACTAATCCTTTGTTAGAAACGAACCTGCCCGGTTCTACATCGAACGGTTTTACATGGGGCTAAAAGCTTCCCTTCCTCGTCTTCGCTAACGTCTACGTATATCAAAGTTTAGAATCAATCGCCACCTCAAGTTACTGGGTTGCTCTCCGATTGTTCGCCCCGGTATTCTCGTTAAAACCAATATCAAATTTTGAAATCGGTCACCATTTCAAGAGTCAAGTTACTTGCTCGCCACTTTGGTGCCTCTCGATATTGTTTTACCTTAAAACGGGTTGCCCTTGGTCGTTCCTTATTATTTCAGGCGATGCAAATCTGACGAAATCCTAATAGTCTGAGGCAAGAGCCAAGAAGGGTGACGGTGGATGGGGCGAGTTCACGCGTCTATAAGATAGTTCACGCAGAAATGACGAGGGAGACTCCCCCGGACGAGGTAAGAACTTACCATAGAACCAGCACTGCTTCTCGCCGAAGCGGGGCCTCAGAAACGTGTACTGCGGTTGAGGCGGTAGGTGGTCCAAAAGCGCGGCCAGGCCGGCGACAAGTAAGGGCCCACCCCAGGCGTAGCAGGCATAGACCCTGAGTCTAAGGGTCTCCTGCCCTTTCTCCAAGCTCACTGGTCGCAAATCCCTGAAAGCAACGAAAGGCGAGGGCTCAGTCAGCGAAGAGCGTGGCAGACTTACGATGAGAATGCGCGGCATTGTGAGAAACGTAAAAAATAAGTTATCAGAGTGGGGCCACGGGTATATCCGCTTCTCTTCTCTCTATTCCACTTTTCCTCTCGACGGCGGATGAATGGAGGACAGAAAGCCATTCGAGAACGCGGCTTTTTTTTCTTCTGACCATGACACAAAAGTAATAATAAAACTTGGAGATAATTATTTCTGTCGCAAGGAGGTCGCAGATACGGCTGGCGGTTGTAACGATACAATAGAGGTGTCACAGATTATCGCTGCCAGCGATCGATCTTCTGGTTATTAAAACGAAACTACGTGAGAATTCGGCACGTTCGCTCGTAACGTACCAAATCGTAAAGCTTTGTCATTGTCCGGCCAGTTTAATGTCGCCATAATGACACTCGTGGCAGGGAGATGAACGCTGGGGCTCAACACGTGAGGGGTTGCTACCCGTAAATCTCACCCTAACGCAAATATCGACTATCGTAACGGGAGAAGTTAACAGTAACGAAAAAGTGAGTACAAGCAGAAAAGATAGTTTGAAATTGTTCGCGATAACTTTTGAGGCACCGGAAGCCGCTCAGCGCTGAACGTAGAGAGTGCGCGGAGCGTTTAAGAAAACGCTCCGACTTCGCGCGCGGTGTCGGACGAGCACAAAATAAAGAAGGAGACGCGAGGGTCATATAGAACTCGATATTTATTAAGCAAAAGTCACGGTCGGTACACAAATAAAGATGGGGTCTAACCGATGCGGCCAGGGGACCGTTTCAACGATGGAAGGCACGCGAAACGGAAATCTTCCGAGTCCGTATGATGCTGCAAATTAACGGCGTGGCGGAGATCTTGCCGAGCGTCGATTTAGACGCCCAAAACGGATCGGACGATCTTGAGCGCGGACGACGGTATAACGCGAAGCAGCCAGACTTACGCGATCACCGGAGCGCGCATCGACAGACCGGACACTCGGCGGAGAAATAATTGTTTTCGGAGCAATTATCGCGCCGGGGCCTCAAGGAGGAGCCGGCGTGGTACGGCACGAACCGATTTCGTTATTACAACGGACACTCGCGATAGCGAAGCAGACGTCCCTTTACCGGGAACAAGAGCCGGGCGAACGGGCACTCGCGTTAGTGGAGCAAAGTACTTACTCTCGGATCGCGCGATGATGTTCGCACTTCGGATCCGCGTACGAGACTCTCCTTTGTGACGAGCGATCTTCACGATCGTTAGAAACGGGAAGAGTTCCGATTGGTGGAACAGACATCGCGCGACCGGGTCGCCGAATCGGGTAAAGACGCGAAAATGTACCGGAGCGCGATCAGCTGTCGATCACGTGTGCCCGCTCGCCCTCGGGAGCTCTCGAAGGAAAACATCGCGGCGCGACTCGTCGCGAACCAGTGGCGTAACTACCACCCGGGTAGCCCTGGCACGGTCTGGGGGCCCCAGCTTAGAAGGGCCCCCTAAATATTCT